ACGAATAGGCAAATCATTAAAATGTGAATATTTTTTAACTCATTAGGAATAACTGATAATGAAATTAAAAGAAAACAAAAAAATGACCGAACAATAGGTCAACAAAGTCAAAGGGGACAGGAGATCCGGGGAAGGGGGGGGGGGTAATTTAAAGAAATAAAACTAGGGGCAAAGGGGAAGAAACTTACCGTAGACGAGAAAACAACAAGGGACACAAGCAAAAGTGTCACCAAAACGGTATGAAACAACATTAATCTTGAAAAAATGGTCGCTCGGAAAGCATTTTAAACAACAAAATTACATGATAATTGTAGACTCGGTTTGATTGAGTCTAGACATAAGGGATAATAAAAAAGTGTAACATCCCTCACGCCACTTACCATCAGCGTGTTTGGTACTCAATTCTCAACCCGAAAGACCAGAAATATATAACGACACTGAAGTGAAGTACGGGGCAACTAACAGCATTGTTGTGATGTATAAATATCTGGAAAAAAAGTGATCCTTCGGAAACATATAAGACAGCAAATTATATGAAATTTGTAGACTCGGGTTTGATTGTGTACGTAAGGATATGAAAAAGTGCAACATCCCTCACGCCCCCTTGCACCGGCTTGAGTGGAAACTTTTTTATGCTCCCACATTCCCACAATGTGGGAGCATATAGCGTTGCATTTGTCCGTCAGACCGTCCGTACGTCCCGAAATCTTGTGAACGCGACTTCTCTTAAACCGGATGGCAGATTTTGCTTACACTTCCAGGGATGAACAACCTTAATGTGTAGATTGCCGCATATTAATTGCAGTAAAAGAAGGAATTTTTGCTGCAACCAAATTTAACAGAATTATGGCCATTTGTTGATTTTTTCATTATATACTATGTAGAAATTTTGTTAACGCAACTCCTCTTAAACCGGATGGCAGATTTTGCTTAAACTTCCAGGGATTAACAACCTTAATGTGTAGATGGCAGTAAAGGAAGGAATTTTGCTGCGACCAAATTCAACAGAATTATGGCCCTTTGTTGATTTTTAGTTTTAAACTTGTGGCACATGTAGTCCAAAAAATATTTGACCTAGAGTCATAAGATTGACGCAACTCCTCTTAAATCGGATGACAGATTTTGCTTAAACTTACAGGGATGAACAACCTTAAGGTGTAGATGGTAGTAAAGGGAGGAATTTTTGCTGCGACCAAATTTTACAGAATTATGGCCCTTTGTTGATTTTTTCACTATATACTATGTAGAAATTTTGTGAATGCGATTCCTCTTAAACCGGATGGCAGATTTTGCTTAAACTTCTAGGGATGAACAACCTTAATGTGTAGATGGCAGTAAAGGAAGGAATTTTTGCTGCAACTAAATTTAACAGAATTATGGCCCTTTGTTGGTTTTTTTCATTATATACTATGTAGAAATTTTGTGAACGCAACTCCTCTTAAACCGGATGGCAGATTTTGCTTAAACTTCCAGGGATTAACAACCTTAATGTGTAGATGGTAGTAAAGGAAGGAATTTTTGCTGCGACCAAATTTAACAGAATTATGGCCCTTTGTTGATTTTTAGTTTTCAACTTGTGGCACATGTAGTCCAAAAAATATTTGACCTAGAGTCATAAGATTGACAGAACAGTGGCGTGTGGGGGCATCCGTGTCCTATGGACACATTTCTAGTTTAAACAATAACACATGTTTAGTATCTTGGATATGAGCCGTGCATTTTCAGACAGGAAGAATGAACAAAAATCAACAAGGCAAGGCAACGTTCACTAAACGCAGCACCCGACACAGTCCGGTCTGACATCTATCCAAACTGAAAGTAATAAACCTTAATTCAAAAGACATGATTTTAGTGCTCCGCGCCCAAAGGCGTGGCGCTATTTGTGTTACTTTTTTTGTCCATGGACCCGATTTTTATCAATTAATCCCTTCGATTTACAGCTTAAAATAAATTCGGAAGCCAATTTCCTTTCGATTTCTTTCATGTAAAGCTCTTTATTTATAACCTATGTCAAGTAGCTTTTATATCTTTGACTGCATGATCATGATGTTAGTGAATTTCCTCATACCCTATGATTCCTGTCTAAAATACAGGTAACAGTCTTCCATTGATAAATAATGTTTCAATATATCAACATGCCATGCACCTTTATTCATGATTTTAAATGTACCATTATTTTTGTTAACGCGTATAACGAAAACATCCTGAATTTGGTCTAAAATAAGAAATTCATCCCAATTTTTTTTCATTCCAGTGTGTATTCTTCTTTCAGTATTTATCTGAGACTTAAAATATAGCTACTGTGTCTTAAGTCCAAGGCATCAAAAGAAACCATTTTTCTTAATTTGATAGATAAAAATGCCTGTTATATTACAATATTAGTCTCTTTCATTACTATTTTTATATGCTGTTTGTATATTTGTTACATTTATAATAAAGGCTACTGTTTTGTATGTTCCAAAGAAAAAAACATTTAATATATTTTTTTAGCAAGCCGACCAAAGTTCATGATGAACAATGTCTTTTGTCCGCCCATTCATCTATGATATGCATGTACAATTCTGGTAAAATCCAATTAACCATTGAAAAGTTTAAAAGAATATCTGGTCAAAAGGCCCCGTGTTCACAATGAAAAGATCAGGGTCAGATGATCCTGATTTTATTTTCATTGCTTTATGAAACTAAAACTGATCGTATTAGGCTAGAATTAAATGGTACATATTCGAAATATGAATAATTGTTTATTTGCAAAGAAACCAATCTATTTTGGGATAAAATGAACAAATAACAAAACAAATACAAAAACAATCGGATCAAAATGAGGATCAATTTTAGGATCAAGATCAAAATAAGGATCAACTGTAAAATGTTCATATCTTGTAAAAATAATAATAAATTATTCTAAAATTTCATAAACATGCTATTTCAAGTCCAGTTTTATCAAGTTAACACTGAATATTTAATCTATGAGGATAAATAATGGAGAATATTTGAGTTTTTAAATTAAATCCTGATCTTGATCCTGATCCTTAAATCTTTGTGATGTCTACTAGTTCATAGTCACTTGCTGCATTTCTTGCTTGGACGTCATTTGATGCTTTGCATCAATGCCTGTCTTGTTTAACATGATATACAATTTGGCGCGAAACATGTAATGGACATTTAGAAAAATAAAGTCGATTTGGCTTATTTACATGCGGATATTAATATTTCCTACAATGATTAGTTGTTGATATTTGTAGTAAGTGAGTAGCATTATAGGTGAATAAGAAAATGTACATGCTTTGATATTCTTTATCATGTAATATTACTGACTACAGTAGTGACACAGACAGAACAATGTTGCACTACTGTCATGTCACATATTTACAAGTCTTGTAAAATATGATAAACAAGATCAACGAGGAAAGGCGGCGTTCAATGAACGCAACCCCCACATGACCCAGCAACAAGAACCAATGGCAAGGAGCCCAGGCGTTTTGTTTGTATTGGAATTACTTTCCTTACCAGGTAGGCATCAGTTTAAGCATTTTTTAAAATTTAATATCTGGCCCCTCTGTCATGGACAGTACATACGATAATTATAGCTATGCAAATTTAAATTATTTACAAAACACCCGGAACAATGTACACTACTCCTTAATCTAAATAGAAAATAACTTGGGCGCAGAAATGATTTGGTAAGGTATCTGTAATGAGCGCAGAGTGGAGTTTCTCAATTGCTGCATTGCAGCAACATGTGTTCTTGTTATTTTATAGTTGACTACCTGGCAATGTTGCAAATAAAATATCTTAAGTTTTAAATAAAGGAGGATTTGTCACGATCCAATTTAAGGTCCAGTGACTACCAGACCATAAATATGTAATACTTTGATATATCAGATCAACTGGGTCTTATCTCAGATGTTTGGGATCATTCTATGAAAATTTGGTCAGCATTAACCTAGTTTTTTGTTAAGAAATCGTTGATAACGAATGATTACAGATCGATGGAATACAAATATCAGCATATAATAAACCACCTTTCAGTACTTCATGCAAAAGAAATATTTTAAGGTATGAGCCCCCTAATGGGCACTATAAGGAACTATAAATTGACAACATAGGTCAGTTATATACCTTAAAAGACACAATAATGCAAAATTTAAACAAAGTTTACCGTATGGTTTACGAGTTATGGAGATTTTTCTTAAGTAAAACTTGGCTATTAGAAGGGCTCTTTTTCAGAAATGAGAAACTCTAAATATTCTTTTTTATAATCTTTATGAAAAAATGTTTTCCTACAGAACATTTTTGAGAAACAAATAATAGCATTCAGCTTACAAATGACCCAGCAAAATTATTGTTTCTACTCAAAATGTTTGAAATATGTTTATAAATGTTACCCTACCCCACCCTTTTTAAGTACTTGTTTGGTCATTTTTCTACTTGGCGGGCCTTTTTCAAAATATCACTTAAATTTACTCAAATCAGGGGCTGTTTTCAAAGTTTGCATAAATTTTCTTAAAAGTATACTGGTTGCGCCTGTCAAATATAAAATACTTTTTTATAAAATACTTTTACCGTCTAGTTTTTATTTTATTAGACTTTGAAAACATCAGGTACCATATTTGATAAAAAAAAATTGGCACAATTTAGCCAATAAATACCATTAATATTTTCATTATTCAAATGAAACACTTTTTTCTTCTCAAGAGTGATATGAGAGACACAAATAATGTTCAAAAAAAAAAGAAAGAAAAAAAAAATGTTGTCGCTTCTGGGGCTTGAACCCACGCCCCTCAGTTACAATGCAAGTGACAGTAGTTCTAGGCTATTTGAATACTCTTCAAAGTGGAGGTAATGCATTAGGTGGATCATACCTTAAATATATTATGACCTGACTCAGTTGATCGTCCAAAAATTAACTGTTTTAACAAGCAAAAATTGATATTCAATTTTGAAAATAGTTTAATTTAGTTTAAGTTTTCGTCTGGGTGATAACGAAACAGTCTACTCACCGTTGGTTCTTTTTATTCCAATGTCAAATCTAGCTTTATGTTAAAGTGCAACATTCGCTGCTGCAGCAGCGAGTATTTGTGGGTGTGACTAATCAGTGATGTAAAACTGTCTGTTACAAACCCTGAGCTTAAAATAGCATGCAGTGTTTACCTGCAGAGAATATAAACAAAAACAGCTGATTTTACACAGGAGAAGTTTCATGGGTTTAATAACTCACAGATTAATTAAAGACATTATCAAGCCATCTTGTCTAGATATTTTTTTTGAACTTTTTTTACTGGAATGCTGTATGTGTCCTTCATCAAGTCAGACAATTATATCCAAATCAAAAGGATGTGCCTTACATGGGACATTTCTTTTAGGAACAACGTGCTAAAAATGTTCTTGATAGAAATTGAAAATATTTTTAAACTTTTAATGTATAAAATTTTTATACATATGCAACATTTAGATTGATTAATATTTGTGAAATGTAATTCTTGACTACAAGATATTTACAACAAAATATAGTGTAAATGAAATATACCTGGAAGTTACTTTTACTGTTTTCATGATGTTTAAAGAGATAAATACAGAATCCCTAAAGAAAGCCCAACACGGCAAAATTGAAAATGTTGCAGGCTCGGTTTGATTGAGCCTGTTCATGGACGGTACTGGAAAGTGCAAGTTACCGTCCACGCCCCCTATCATCGGCTTAAGCAGAATTCAACATTCAAACATGGTTTAGTAAAATTTTGAATTTAGAAACATCTACAGATGTGTTCATACGGCGGTTATCATGGAACCTTCAATGTGACACAGGAGTGTCATTCCATGAAAAGCGGCGTATGGTCCCCAAGTAAAAAAAGCGTGTGCCCTAAACGAGAAAACAATGGGCGGAACTAAATAAAATGGAATTTTGAAAGGGGATCAGAGGTTATGAAGCCTGCGTATCACAGATAAGACGTCAAAAGACAAATTTTAAAAGCAGGCAACATATCCTAAGGGTGATTCAACATTATTCAAGTAGGAATATTGGAACCACCCAACTAGAAAATGCCGAAAGGTTGAAAATAAAAATACCACAAGCGCAACAATAATGTCGTGCTGAACGATCTTTAAGGATCGAAAATATAACATCATTGATTAAATGTACGGGGAGACTTTTAACAGCCGCCACACGGCACAAATGACACGAATGTGATCATTAAAGAGATAAATGCAGAATCCCTAAAGAAGGCCCAACACGGCAAAATTGAAAATGTTGCAGGCTCGGTTTGATTGAGCCTGTTCATGGACGGTACTGGAAAGTGCAAGTTACCGTCCACGCCCCCTAGCACCGGCTTAAGCAGAATTCAACATTTAAACATGGTTTAGTAAAATTTTGAATTTAGAAACATCTACAGATGTGTTCATACGGCGGTTATCATGGCACGTTCAATGTGACACAGGAGTGCCATTCCATGAAAAGCGGCGTATGGTCCCCAAGTAATAAAAAGCGTGTGCCCTAAACGAGAAAACAATGGGCGGAACTAAATAAAATGGAATTTTAAAAGGGGATCAGAGGTTATGAAGCCTGCGTATCACAGATAAGACGTCATAAAAAGCAGGCAACGTATCCTAAGGGTGATTCAACATTATTCAAGTAGGAATATTGGAACCACCCAACTAGAAAATGTCGAAAGGTTGAAAATAAAAATACCACAAGCGCAACAATAATGTCGTGCTGAACGATCTTTAAGGATCTAAAATATAACATAATTGATTAAATGTACGGGGAGACTTTTTACAGCCGCCACACGGCACAAATAACACGGATGTGATCATTAAAGAGATAAATACAGAATCCCTAAAGAAAACCCAACACGGCAAAATTGAAAATGTTGCAGGCTCGGTTTGATTGAGCCTGTTCATGGACGGTACTGGAAAGTGCAAGTTACCGTCCACGCCCCCTAGCACCGGCTTAAGCAGAAACCATTTCAATACAAGTTAAATCAGTACTTTGAAATTAAAAAACAAATCATAGATTCATGGATTATTGTAAATTTGTTGGATATAAATACTCTTTGATAAAGCCAGGTCAGTAAAAGTTATTGTTTTTCTTATCATGCATTCAGCTTTCCAATGTGTCGTCTGCTAAATATCTCCCTCCCTGAAATAAACACTGCCACGTGCTTTTGTTTACTACTGAAGGTTCATGACCTGTTGTGATCACATGGCTCCTCCCAGGGAAATTCAAATTTGACAGCCAGTATTTTTTTCCAGAAATGCACTTAACAAAGTTATATTTTGAATAATTTTGGTCAATCTTTATCAAAAATATCTATGCCTACATACATGCCAAATGTTGTTTTGATGCTTTGGTAATTACTCTTAAATCTTTGAAAAGGGGTCCCTGAAGTGAAGCATGCATACAATTAATAAGAAACCTGCCCTAGCGCCATCTGCTGGCTTTTATAGTCCAGTTGGGCCTTTAAATTCCAATTGGTTATAAGTCAAGGTATAAATAGTCAAACAAAAATCCAAAAATGAAACCGAAACTATACGTTCTTAGCATATTTAATTATTTAAAAAACCTATTTAAGTCAATCGCAACTTCTCGGTGCTCGACGTAAACTTATACCTTGTTGACCTTGTTAATCATAGTTTATAGTCGAGGTGTTCCAAATGAGATATTAGCGCTGTGATTTATTGCACATTTACATATCAAACATCTTTCGTATATCGTTATATCGTGTCAAAGTCGACTTAGAGATGAAAACGAAAAGTACATTTAGTCTTTTTTAGAAAAAGAATGTCAGTGGCAAACAGAATGTGCAAATGACATATTCCGGATTTGGTTATGATTATATGGCAATGGATATTCTAAAATTGACTATGACTTTAAATATAAACAAATAGTACTTTGGATTATTTCATGTAAGAAAGCAATCCATCTAGTTTACGAAACATCGTTAGTCCGTTCATACCTGAAATAATGCACGCAGAGGCACCTTTTGTCTTCCTCCACCAGTAAAGCTGAAAAGTCGCAATATGATCTTTTCAGTGTTAGTACATTCGTGACTCATCTTACTTTACTACACCAAAAGTCACTTAGTAAATCTATTGATTGGGGCGAGGTGATCAATACCATATTATTTACTACAGAGTTTGAAGTATATGTGTATTTACTTTTCAAATAAACCTGATAAATTACAAACATGCTACGTTAAGGCCTCAACAGACGGTAGGATTTAGTTGTACAGCACTAATTAGAGATAAGATGTACAATTTTCGAAACTATACAACACTTGTATTCAGACGGTAATTCTACACTGTAAGAATCATCTGAGGTTTCCCCTAAAAAGGATCCCTTTACATTGATCCTTTACATACTTTACTCATTAAATACTTTATTTCGCCATGAGTAATGATTGAAACACCTCCATTTTTAGCTCACCTGAGCACAAAGTGCTCAAGGGTGAGCTTTTGTCATCACTCTGCGTCCGTCGTGCGTCCGTGCGTCGTGCGTCCTTCAAAAAATGGCGTCAAACTTTTCAAACAACATCTCCTCCTAAACCACATGGCCAATTGCAACCAAACTTTACAGAAATGATCCTTAGGTGGACCACTTTCAAAGTTGTTCAAAAATTTAAATTCCATTAAAAACTCTGGTTGCCATGGCAACCAACAGGAAAAACTTAAAATTTTTTTTTTAAAAAAAACCCTAAGAGCTAGAGCTTAGATATTTGGTATGAAACATCTTCTAATGAGTGTCTACCAAGTTTGTTAAAATCAAAGCCCTTGGGTCAAAATTGGCCCCGCCCCAGGGGGTCATTGATTTTCCCTATAATTTATGCATATAGTAAAAACTTAAAAAATCTTCTTTTAAAGAACTCAAAGAGCTAGAGCTAAGATATTTAGCATGAAACATGTTCTAATGGGTGTCTACCAAGTTTGTTCAAATAAAAGCCCTGGGGTCAAAATTGGCCCTGTCCCAGGGGGTCATTGATTTTCCTTATATGTGTATAGCAAAAACTTAAAAAATCTTCTTGGAAAAAACCCAAATAGCTGGAGTTTAGATATTAAGCATGAAACATCTTCTAGTGAGAGTCTACAAAGTTTGTTCAAATAAAAGCCCGTGGGTCGAAATTGGCCCCGTCCCAGGAGGTCTTTGATTTTCCCTATATGCATATAGTAAAAACTTAAAAAATCTTCTTTTAAAGAACCCAAAGAGCTACAGCTAAGATATTTAGCATGAAACATCTTCTAATGAGTGGCTACCAAGTTTGTTCAAATAAAAGTCCTAGGGTCAAAATTGGCCCCGCCCCAGGGGGTCATTGATTTTCCCTATATGCATATAGTAAAAACTTAAAAAATCTTCTTTTAAAGAACTCAAAAAGCTAGAGCTAAGATATTTAGCATGAAACATGTTCTAATGGGTGTCTACCAAGTTTGTTCAAATAAAAGCCCTGGGGTCAAAATTGGCCCTGTCCCAGGGGTCATTGATTTTCCTTATATGTGCATAGCAAAATTTTAAAATTCTCTTTGAAAAAACCCAAATAGTTGGAGTTTAGATATTAAGCATGAAACATCTTCTAGTGAGTGTCTACAAAATTTGTTCAAATAAAAGCCCTGGGGTCAAAATTGGCCCCGCCCCGGGGGTCATTGATTTTCCTTATATGCCAGTGTATAGCAAAAACTTAAAATCTTCTTTGAAAAAACCCAGATAGCTAGAGTTTAGATATTAAGCATGAAACATCTTCTAGTGAGTGTCTACCAAGTTTGTTCAAATAAAAGCCCTGGGGTCAAAATTGGCCCCGCCCCAGGGTGTCTTTGAATTTTCCGGTATGCATATAGTAAAAACTTAAAAATCTTCTTTTACAGAACCCAAAGAGCTAGAGCTAAGATATTTAGCATGAAACATCTTCTAATTAGTGTCTACCAAGTTTGTTCAAATAAAAGCCCTAGGGTCAAAATTGGCCCCGCCCCAGGGGGTCTTGATTTTCCCTATATGCATATAGTAAAAACTTAAAATATCTTCTTTTAAAGAACTCAAAGAGCTAGAGCTAAGATATTTAGCATGAAACATGTTCTAATGGGTGTCTACCAAGTTTGTTCAAATAAAAGCCCTGGGGTAAAAATTGG